TATTAAACCCAGGGGCCCTGTACCACTGAGCTACCTCACTAACCCTCTTTATTTTTATTTATTCATTCATTCATTCATTTTGAGGCAGGGTCTCACTGCTGGGATTACAGGCCTGCACCACCATTCCCATCTAGTATCTCATATAATATGTATATGTGTGTGTGTGTGTGTGTGTGTGTGCGCGCGCGTGCGCCATCCCACAAATAGGACATTGGACACTTGTTATGTAATATACAAAGAAATGATTTTTTTTAATTTGTTCTAATTAATTATATAGACAATAGAATGTATTTTGAAACATCATACATAAATGAAGTGAGTATAACTTCTCATTCTTCTGATTGTGTATGTTATAGAAGTACACCGATTGTATAATCATATATGCACATTGGTTAATAATGTCATTCATTCTACTATTCTTCCTACCCCTTTCCCTCCCTTCTGTCTAATCCAGAGTTCCTCTATTTCTTCACTAGCCCTCCCCTTTATTGTGAATTATCATCTGCATATCAGAGAAAACGTTCAGCCTTTAGTTCTTAGGGATTAGCTTATTTCACTTGGCATAAAATTCTGCAGCTTCATCCATTTACTGACAAATGTCATAATTTCATTCTTCTTTATGGCTGAGTAATATTCCAGTGTGTGTGTGTGTGTGTGTACACACACACACACACCACATTTTCTTTACCCATTTATTTATGCCATTCATTGAAGGGCACTGAGGTTGGTTTATAGTTTAGCTATCGTGAATTGAGCTGCTATAAACATTGATGTGGCTGTGTCAATGCAGTATGCTGATTTTAAATCCTTTGGATATATAATAAGTAGGATAACTGGGTCAAATAGTGGTTGTATTTCAAGTTTTCTAAGGAGTCGCCATACTGCTTTCCATAGTGGTTATACCAATTTACAGTCCCACCAGCAATGTATGTGTGTGCCTTTTCCCCCCACATCCTTGCCAGTACCTACTGTTGCTTTTATTCTTGATAATTGCCATTTTGACTGGAGTGAGATAAAATCTTGGAATAGTTTTGATTTGAATTTCTCTAATCTCTAGGGATGATGAACATTTTTTCTTATTTTTGTTGATAGATTTTATTTCTTCTGTGAAGTCTGTTCAGTTCCTTAGTCCATTTATTGATTTTTTTTTCTTTTTGGTGTTAAGTTTTCAAGTTTTTTAAATATATCTTGGAGATTAGTGCTCGATCTGAAGTGTGTGTGTTAAAGATTTTCTCCCATTCTGTAGGCTCTCTCTTCACATTATTGATTCTTTCCTTCGCTGAGAAGAAGCTTTTTAGTTTGAATCCCATCCCATTTATTGATTCTTGATTTTACTTTTTGTGCTTTAGGGGCCTTGTTAAGAAAATCAGTTCCTAAGCTGACATTATGAATATCTGGGCCTAGTTTTTTTTCTATTAAATGCAGGGTCTCTGTTCTAGTGTCTTAAGTCCTTGATCCACTTTGAGTTTTGTGCAAGATGAGAGACAGGGATCTAATTTCATTTTGCTAATATGGATTTCTAGTTCTCACAGCACCATTTGTTGAAGAAGCTATCCAATGTATGTTTTTGGTGCCCTTGTCTAGGATGAGATAACTGTACTTATGTGGGTCTGTCTCTGTGTCCTCTCTTCTGTACTATTGATCTACATGTCTGATTTTGATGCCAATACCATCCCATTTTTGTTACTATTCTTCTGTAGTTGTAGTTATAATTTAAAGTCTGATATTGTGATGTTTCCTGCTTCACTTTTCTTGCTAAGGATTGCTTTGGCTATTCTGGGTCTCAGTTTTTCAAATGAATTTTATGATTGCTTTTACTGTTTCTATGAAGAATGTCATTGGGGTTTGAATAGGGGGTTATATTAAGTTTGTGTAACACTTTTGGTATTATGTCCATTTTGACAATCTTAATTCTGCCAATCCAAGAGCATGGGAGAGCTTTCCATCTTCTAAGGTTAATTCAATTTCTTTTTTTAGTGTTCTGTAGTTTTCATTATATAGGTCTTTTACCTCTTTTGTTAGATTGATTTCCAAATATTTTAGTTTTTTGAGACTATTATGAATGAGGTGGTTTTCCTGTGTTCTCTTTCAGTGGATTCACCACTGATGTATTTCATTTATGGGTGTTAATTTTATATCCTGCTACTTTGCTGAATTCATTTATTAGTTCTAAAATTTTCTGGTGGAAAATTTTGGATCTTCTATATGTCCTCAGCCAATAGTGATAATTTGAGTTCCTGTTTTCCTATTCATATCCCTTTAATTTCTTTGTTCTGTTTAATTGCTCTGGCTGGAGTTTTCAAGGATGATGTTGAATAGAAGTGGTAAAAGAGGGCATCCTTGTCTTGTTCAAGTTCTTAGAGGGAATGCTTTCTATTTTTCTTCATTTAGAATGATATTGGCCTTAGGTTTAGCATATATAGCTTTTACAATATTAAAGTTTGTTTCTACTATCCCTAGTTTTTCTAGTGTTTTGAGCATGAATGGATGCTGTATTTTGTCAAATGCTTTTTCCCCAGACTACATCCCCAGACTCCCCCCACCTTTTAAATGTTTTATTTTGAGATAGAGCCTCACTGCCCAGGCTGGCCTCAAACTTGTGATCCTCTGGCCTCAGCCTCTCAAGTCTCTGGAATAATAGGTGTGTCCCTGCAGTTTTCATTTTTGACAAGTTGCCAATTTCCCCCAACATGGCTTTTTTTTCCCCCCCTTGCTGTTTGAGAATGGTATGGCTTCTCACAAAATCTGATATCTTGGACAATAGTTCTGGGAACATCAGGCTTTCTTCTTCCTGATGGGTTCTCATTCATTAAGGTATGCTAAGCAGATGTCTTGTTTGAAATCCAACAAATTGATGAGATCTTTTCCTGTCTTTACCTGCAAATTTGTGAATAATTTGTGCATTTACAATACGTATTATTCAAGTCAACAAATACCCATTTTTTTTTAACCTCAAGTATATTATTTGGAAACTAGACAATCATGTTTATCCACGCCATCACTGAAATTGTTAAAGGTACCAGCTACTGTTCATGTAAAGCACATTGGCTGTACTCTTTTTTCCATCCAACTTTGCCAAGTGGTTTAGTTCATTCCAACAAAGACACATTTATTATCTAACCATTTTATGGTGAGAATTTATATCAAATCTGTAATAATGCGACCCTTTAACTTGTGTTTGTATCAACATTGTTGATTTCCAAGGACACTTGTGTAGTCTGTTTTCCTTCATGATACCTGTAGCTTAGAATCCAATATTTCAAAGGTGTACCAACAAGTTATAACAACAAAGAGATTGTGGGAAAAATAGCATGATTGTGGATTCTCTACCACTTCAAGCATTTGTAGAACTATCTGACTGCCAAGGAACAAAAGGATTTTGAGTAAATAACTAAAAATATCCAACTATATATTATTTGTACTCTGCATTAGGTGTAAAATGTTGTTTACATGTATATAAAATATTATATGTATGTACATACATGTGTGTGTTTGTATGTAGTCCATGTATGTGTTTGTGTGTATGTGTGTAAATGTATATAAATGCACACCTATATATATGGCTTGCTATGAGACTGTTTCTCAATGGCAATATATTAGACAGGGCCTCAGCAGAAAAAAATGGCATATTAAACATGTATTTGAAGGGAGTGTAAAGAAGGATCTTTTTAAGGTGAAGGGATAGACGAAATTATGGGAACTAACCAAATAAGGTAAAACACTCAAAAATGACCAACAGAAGGTTAGTTATTGACCCCCTCATTATTTTCAGCTGCTAGCAAAACCAGCAAGTCCTGAAGCAGCAGAAGTATGGCTCTGGGTGGGTATTCTGTCTTAGCCAGTTTGTAGCATATGCCATAAGGATCACAGAGAATAAATACCTTGGCCTCTCTTCTCATTTCTTTTCTTTTCTTTTTTTTTTTTTTAATATTTTTTAGTTGCCAATGGATTTTTAACTTTGTTTATTTATATGTGGTGCTGAGGATCGAACCCAGGATCTCACACATGTTAGGCAAGTGCTCTACCACTGAGCCACAACCCCTGCCCCCTCTCTTCACATTTCTGACGATGCATTGGACAGGTCCAGCAGAAAACAAGGAAGGAAAACATAACCCTATTGACATGGTTCTTAGGGGTCTGCCTGCTAGAGCTCAAGGCAAGGTAGCAAGGGGCAAAGATGAATTTCCATGTTCAGAGAGCATGTATTACCTTTTCTGTGGCCAGGCTGCACATTACTATGCAATATACATTGTCCCAGTGCTCTATTTATTAGACAGCTATTTTCCAACATTGATAATTTGAAATATAGTGCATCCCTCAAAATAAAGTGACAACCTAGTTCTAGAAAATACTTTCATGAATGCATTTCTTATAACACACATCAATTATATGTGTAATATTTTGTTCAGTTGAACATTGAGAAGTAACTTTCCAACAAAGTTGATGCCATTTTCATAGTGAATTTAAAAGTAGTTTCAGACTGTCTAATCATTCACTTGTTGCTTTTGTCTAAAGAATGGGCTTCTAAAAGCGTAAGAATTATTTCAAAGTTACCATGAGTGGTATATTTGTTACTCATTTAAAAATTTTGTGGGTCAAAAAACTGGTAACTTAGTATGCAAAACGAATATAATACTAATATGACTTTGTTTTACCATAGTAGTTCTTGTTTGAGCTTTAAGATGCCTTTCCAGATCTCTTAATCTTATTTGATTAAAAATTTCTAGCTAATAATAATAAAAAATAATTTCTAGAAATTATAAAATTATACTAGCTTCTTCTAATGACTAATAATTACTAATCTTTCTAAAAACTATAAATTTTTAAATTTACAAGTAAATTTTAAGCTGACTTCTCAGGTTTGCTTTTTTATGATGAAACTGTGCAGTAATATTATAATTAAGAAGAATGAACAGTTAACATGAATTGAAAGCTTAATTGTGAACTGCAGAATCTTTGTATATATCTTAGCAATCATTTCTTATTTTTATGTTTTGAAGGATTTAAAGCCCAGTAATATAGTAGTAAAATCAGATTGCACTTTGAAGATTCTTGACTTTGGACTGGCTAGAACTGCAGGAACAAGTTTTATGATGACACCTTACGTAGTGACTCGATACTACAGAGCACCTGAGGTCATCCTAGGCATGGGCTACAAGGAAAACGGTCAGCACACACTTTTTATTTGAAATACTCTTCAAATTTAGTTTTTTGTTATTGATGTTTATTAGGTTTTTTAGGTAAATATTTAAGTTAAATTGCATGGAATTAAATGTGTATCACTGTTTGAAATGTGTATCAAGTTTGAAAGTAACTATTATAAGTTTTATCATAAATGGGAAAACATGGGGGCCTTGTTAGTCTAAAATGCTAATACTTAAATCATCAGCACTCCCACTGGATAAAGAATTGTCTTAGCCTCTGAAAAAAGAACTATGTGTATGCTTTTTGCTTGTCCATAGCTTGAAAATGAGCAAGTACTTCTATATACGAGGAAGTATATAGTGTACCTCAGAATTCAATCTTACTAGTAATTTCAGTGCCCATTAGTAAGGTTTGCTCTTATTTCCAATTCCAGGAAATCAAAGTTAATAGCAGAGCATTTAGTGTAAACTTTGAGAACTACAATAATGCCATTATGCAAAACTGATGAATAATTAAGAATCTCTTGGAGGAAACAATAATGTTTCATCAAAGCCTTGTGTCTAATCTTAAGGAAAAGGCATATAGTATTTTGTGTATGTATAGTGAATTAAACTATAACTTTCTAAGTGTGGTAATTTCATCCAAAATACTCCTGTGAAAAAACTGGAACAGTAGTTCACTTTGATTCAGGCAGCTATTAGTCAATTTTCAAGATTATTATTATTATTATATATTTATTTATTTATTTACAAAAGATACCTACGAAATTAGAATTTTAAGCCAGGTTTGGTGGTACATGCCTATAATTGCAGCAATTCGGGAGGCTGAGGCAGGAGGATTGCAAGTTTGAGGCAAGCCTCAGCAATTTGACAAGAACTTGTCTCAAAAAATAAAAAGGACTGGGAATGCAGGCCAGTTGTAAAGCACCCCTGGGTTCAATCCGAGTACCAAAAAAAATTTTTTTTAAAGACAGAAATTAGGATTTTAGCTTAATTTCCTTTTTGGTGTATGTGAGCTCAAAGTAAATATTTTAAACAGTGACTGTTAATCTTTTATTCTGAAGTAAGCATGCTATTTTGTTTTCTTACTTTCTACCTAAAAGTTGAAGTTTTGTTTGGGTATTGATAACTTCAATACCAGCATGAAGATTGCTTCTGCACTCTTCTCTCATAAGAATTATGTAGATCATCTTATTGCATCCCCACCCTTCCCCAGAAAACTGAGTCAAGTGTAATACTTCCTTATGGTAACTACAGTAGCCTGCAAAGATTAACATAAATATTTCTTTCTTTTAATGACTACCCCTCCCCAGTTTAACAACTTTGTTTTATCTGTATTTTATTGCAGGCTACTTCAGACTGTTTTGGAAAGTGTAGGATAATCAAGTATATTTTAAAGTGCCTAATAGTAAGCAGTTAAACACAGCTCAGTTTTATGTACAAATTATAAAACTAAACTTAAGCCTTAGTTTCTTCACTGACTCAATATCTTCTCTGATACTAGTAGCTTTTAAGATCTTCGTGTTTAAAACTGTTTTTCTGAAGGTTTTCCACATCAGTTTCATCCTTGTTATTTAGCTACTTTCCTCTTTTCTGTAAAGTCTAAGGAGAAGATTTATTCTTACAGATTTTGGGCAAAAATGAAAACCCTTAAAATTTTGTTCTCTGATCAATTGATTTATCAATGTTAACTTTTCCTGTAAAAAAATTTTTTTTGGTACTGGGGATTAAACTCAGGGATACTTGGCCACTGAGTCACATCCTCAGCCCTATTTTGTATTTTATTTAGAGACAGGGTCTTACTGAGTTGCTTAGAGCCTCACTTTTGCTGAGGCTGGCTTTGAACTCGAGATCTTCCTTGCTCAGCCTCCTGAGCTGCTGGGATTACAGGTGTTCCTCTAAAATTTTATCCTCAAAAGTTGAGTCATACTAGAAATATAAAAAGGTTTGCATACATTAATGTGAAATTTTAGAGAAACTTTAGTACCAAAAATTATTCCCCATTTATTTCCTAACATACTTCGGTGAATTGATGGTCTCCTTATAAGAATGTGCTTGAAAGTATAGACTTAAATTTCCTAAATCCTGCAACATGGATGAAGAACACATCTCTCTTAAATCTAGTCCTGCCCGTTTCTTCTTCTGCTCTTAAAGAATGTGGGCCTTCAAACTTCAAGACCCAAATCTAAGTTTCTAAGCCTTTTCCTTTTAAATTGCTCATTCTTTCCCTCTTCTATTAAACTTCAAGTACCTACTCTTTCTCCTTTTATCTGATATCCAGACCCAAAGGTATAAAATGTTAGAGTATGCGGTTAGTTTTAATAAATGGGTGGAAATCCCAAAATTGCCTCTTTCTGTCTAGCAGATTGTTTGCAGCATCTTGATTAGGGCTCCCTTTTCAAGTTGGCAAGGGTAAGTGCTAGGAAACTCTGCAATAAGAACTTTCATACTATATCCTACCAAAACTAATTTCTTAAATCCAAGCAGTTTGGTTTTATGAATTTGAAAAACCTTATGTAGAAAACATAAGAAGTATACTTTTCTTTACTCTGTTTTCTTCATTCTGTATGTACTTGTTCCTTTAGGGATAATAGAGTAAATGTAGAATGATGTTGCCAAGAAAATAATTGACTTTTAATTCAGAGTAAACATACCACTTATTAAATAAATAAATTTATGAACTCTGGTTTGAAATTTTCTGTAGAGCTTTACATTAATTTTTTGTAATTATTCAGAGACATTTTTCTATTAAATATTTTAATAAGATAAATTACGCTGCTCATGCTTTTTCTTTTAACTTTTAAAGAAAGAGTGTAATGCACAGTTGAGCTTCAAAATAATGTATAATATCATAATTTTACTATTTTATGTACATTTTAGCCTTATTTATAGTTTGTGTTTGATTCTCTTATGTTTTATAAACAAATTCTCAGTTACAAAATATACAGGTTTTATACTATTTCTGTGCATAGCTCTCACTTTAAAATTAGATATGTAGTTAAAATGCCACAATTTGTTTTCTTTTGTGAACCAAGCTTTTCACAAAGTATTTTGTTTTTGAAATTATTTCATTAGCTGAAATTAAAATCACTTTTTCTTTTTTGTAATATTTTGCAGTTTTTATATAATGCAATCATATTCTGCTTCTTTGATTTTAATGACCTTTTGCTTTGCTTTTCCTTCTTTTGTGCTGCAAACATAGTGGATTTATGGTCTGTGGGGTGCATTATGGGAGAAATGGTTTGCCACAAAATCCTCTTTCCAGGAAGGGACTGTATCCTTGTGCTGCTGCAGCAAATTATTAGTTAGGTGATGAACTTCCTTATGTTCTTTAATGAAAATGAATATGCTGCATTCATACATACAGGTTTTTTTAAAAACAGACATAAACTTTGTGACTGTTATAGTTCAAAAAATTGTTCAGATAAGAAGCTGAAATATTTGTAGGCTGCATTTGGCAGTAGGACATACAGTCTCTGCTGGTAGTCAGAGCACATTCACTGTCACTCATTTTTATTTTATATGCTTTTTATGATTTTAAAGTATACATGGTGTGCGTGATTTTTTTTTACTGTTTATATATTTCTTTTTATTTTAACCAAAATCTTTATGTTAATGTCATTGCATTTTGTTTTCAGTTGACATTTGGTCAGTTGGGTGCATCATGGGAGAAATGATCAAAGGTGGTGTTTTGTTCCCAGGTACAGATCGTATCCTTATCTTTGGCCTAAAATATAGTTTCTAAAGGTCAAAATGTATGACAGTACTTCAGCTCCTTCAGGTATAATGTATTTTGTCTCTCCCTAATATCAAGTATTGCTAAATTACTCTTTCAAAATACCACCTGCTATTGACATAGACTTTCTTTTCCCTCATTTATTGTTTTCATATGTTAATTCTGAAAAGTCCTCAAGTGTAATTATCCACAGTTACTTGCTGGCTTTGAGTTGATTTATTTAACCTACATTTAAAAAAATCATGGCTTGCATTAAAAATTTATAATAATTTATACACTTGAGTAAGTCTAGAAATACTTAAGAATTACTTTGAGCTTTGAAATTTTCTGTTGCTGCTGGCCATCCTTTTGTTTTGTCCCCTCACTGCCTTTTTGTTAATGTTTTGTGTGTTTTGTGTCTTGATTGTTCTCATTACTCAACATAACATACTGATTCTTTCATGTGAGAATTTGAGCAATAGTAGTTTTATGTGGTGATTATAAGATTTACATTCATGCTTTTTTTTCCCATCTGACTACTTTTAGTGTTTACATCAGTAGGGATGGATTTATCAACAAGTAATTGTTTCAAGAAAAGGAATGGAAATATTCACCAGGTTACAGTAAAGAGTTTTAGGCTTAGAGTATAAACACTAGGAGGAATAAGATCAGGGAATTCTAATCTTAAAACTTACTGAAATACTGAATCTTTTTTATACACTTCAGAGCATTAAAAAAAATTAATGTCAGCTAAACAAAAAATAGCAAAATACACTTTTATAAAAAGTCATTTTTATTTCTGTTTATTTTCTGTTAATTTAGAAAACTCAAAAAAAAAAAAAACAGAACAGATTATCCTTTAGGAAATACATTCACATTTTCTGATAAGCTGGAAGAAAAGGCAGATTCTATATATTAGGATTATGTACAGTTTGCATTTAGAGAGTCTATGAGTAGTAATGATAATACTGTACATTTATATTTATTTATAACTTAGAATTTGTGAGTTTAAACTTCCATTTTGGGGGTAAAATTAGTATTCATATATACATACATGTGCACACACACACAATAAATAAGGTTAACAACTTATTTATTGCTCATTTCTGTCCACCTATAATCATTGCCCTTTGCAAGGTGGCTGTGAGATATATGAAATTTATAACTGCCACATTCTTTTTATAAAATTTTTTAAATTTCCATTTTGTATTTTAATATGAATATTGACTAATGTGTTGAATATTAGAAGCAGTATTTTTCTTAGCTACTTGATATTAGATATTGATCAGTGGAATAAAGTTATTGAACAGCTTGGAACACCGTGTCCTGAATTTATGAAGAAACTACAACCAACAGTAAGGACTTATGTTGAAAACAGACCTAAATATGCTGGATATAGCTTTGAGAAACTCTTCCCTGATGTACTTTTCCCAGCTGACTCAGAACACAACAAACTTAAAGGTAATTTTTATAAACATATACATCAAATTCCATTTGTGTGTGCATTTGTGTATTCATATTCTTATGGGATACAATCAAAGATTATCTCTGGGTGGAGAAACAAAATGAAATTTTAGTTATTTTTATCTTTAATCTTATACTGTTTATTATATGTATGATCTGGTTTTAAAGTTAAAAACTATACTTTTAAAAACGTGCTTCTTAAATGACACTCTCAAGTTTGTGGAATCAGTGATAATTTAGGAATCTTTACAAATAGGTACACATTAACATCATTATTTTTACAGCCAGTCAGGCAAGGGATTTGTTATCCAAAATGCTGGTCATAGATGCATCTAAAAGGATCTCTGTAGATGAAGCTCTTCAGCATCCATACATCAATGTCTGGTATGATCCTTCTGAAGCAGAAGCTGTAAGTTTTTTTTTTCTCCATGTTTGAAGAATAGAGTGCATTCTTAGAGTCAGAATTAGTTAGGTTTGGAGGAAACTTTTGAAAATGAATTGAAAATATAGACAGATGATGATAGTGCTTTTCTGTGTTTGCATGAAGATTACCTTAAGCTAATGGGCATTCCCCAGGCATCTCCTACACAAAAGTAAAGTTGCCTCCCTCTGTGTGTCTCACTTTCTGGCCTTGCCACCTGATCAGAGGAGCTAGGATGGGGAGTGCTCTGTGGAACATCCTAACTTAGTTATAAAACAAATAATCATATCCCAATTCTATGATATAAATAAAATGTGAAAATTTCAGAAGCTAGAAGAAAAAGATAAATATTTCTTCCTGCATTGCAGGAGTCTTCCAGAACTAGTTTACATGAGAAGTTTGTTGATGATCAGTCAGTCTTGCATTTTTCAAGTCTTCTGTTTGACTAATGTTTCAAGTAATTATAAAGAAGCATATACTCCCAGTAAACTGACTCAGTTATTAATTATCACTTTTTATTTTTCAGCCACCACCAAAGATCCCTGATAAGCAGTTAGATGAAAGGGAACACACAATAGAAGAGTGGAAAGGTAATGTTCATTAGATTCTTAGAAAAATAAGAAAGTATCTGGCATTTTGTAGTGATTTATTTTTTATCCTAAGGAAATTAATGATATTTTTCATTTTCATAACTTATATTTAATAATTTGATTATTCTTTTTACAAAAGTGTAAAGTAAGTCTCCTTCCCGACCTGATTTAGTCTTGATTTCCCAAGTTCTCCACCCCAAACACATTAGTGTTTTCTTCTGTAGTCTGTTTATACAAATGTGTTCAGTGTCTCCACCCTGATAAGCTTTTTTGTTTGTTTGTTATTTTTGGTACCAGGATTGAACACAGGTACATTTTACCACTAAGTTACATCCCCCAGCTCTTTTTATTTTATTTTATTTTTTTTATTTTGAGACAGAGTCTTGCTAATTTGCTGAGGCTGGCTTTGAATTTGCTATCCTCCTGCCTAAGCCTCCTGAGCCAGTGGGATTATAGGTGTTTAAAATCATTTGTACATTAGTACATATTTGTATCATTTTTTAATCACAAATGATTTTAAACTCTGCACATTTGCTTTGCTGATATGATTATACCTCTTAAAGATGACTCTTGGTCCACATAACTGCTTCATTTGGTTTAATAGCTGGTAAATGTTGTTCAGTAATCATGTGTCACAATCTTTGTGTCCAACTTCCTCTTGAAGAGCATTTAAAGTAGGTCTTGTCTGTTACTCTTACAGACAGCTCGCTCTGTTGTATTCATGTGCACATATGCACAGTATTTATGAAAACATGCCTATAAGAACAGTTCTAGATGTGCTGAGCCAAAGGCTGTTTTCAATTATTTCTAAATTCCTTTCCAGAGAAATTAACGGTAGTGTCTTTGCACATCTAATGTAGTAGTTTTAGTCTACCTTATTAATGCAATAGAACATTAATACTTCAATAGTCATGGAAATGTTAAAATATATATTTTTTAAAGCTCTCTTGGGACATTTGGGCTAGGTAACTTTTAGGTCGTGTTCACCTCTATCTGTGTTGTTGTCATTTAGTGTTTGACCATTTTTGTAGCTGTGTGACTTTTGAGCAAATCTCTTGACACCCCCTTTTTTATTTACCTTAAAATGGAGGCAGAAGATCTGTTACAAAGAGCTAACTAAGTATCTTGGGCAAAAGAAAATAGGGAGGTATAACCCTATCTGTAAATTTATTTTGGAAAGATTGGATTTGATACTTATTTTCTCTGAGTTGAGCTTAGGAGACTCATGGTTAACAGAGCACAACAGAATGATAGACTTAAGTACAGCCTAGTGCATCTGAATATGTACTAAGTAATATACAAGTATATAACTCTGGACCCAAATAGTTATTAAAATATTCACCTGATATTTTTATATCCCATTAATTTATAATAGACATTTATGGTATTTCATAGAATTATGTCAGGAAACACTTCCAGTTGTACTATACCACTGATTTTAAAATGTAACCAATTTCAGAGATATTAAATTGGAAAAGAAACACATCTTAAAGGCATGGAATAAAGAATTTTCATTTACAGTGTAATGATATATTGTGGTCTTTCCATTATGCTAAAATGTTTAACTTTATTGTGAGTCTTTTTCTCTAGCCCCACATACACTTCTGTAGTTATATACAAACTGCCCTTTTCAATGTCTGCATTAGAGTTTAAGCTGTCAAAGCAGATAGAAAAATCCACTGCCAAAGCCATTTACTATAGATAGCTTTGCCTTATTAGTACTTCTTATTGGCTTTGTTTCTTCTGTCTGAATCCCTTTTCACAAACAAGTGCTTTTTATCTTAAAGAAAGAGAGATGTTTATTATTCCTTTTGTTTCTTAAAACAAACAAACAACAAAAAAAAAGTCTATCAAGACTTTGTATTTTTCTTCTTCAAAGTCCAAGGTTACCATAGCAAGCAAAGATAGATATCTCTAGCTTCATTCCAGTATCTCCACTTACTTTATCTTTTGCCAACATAAATATTGTCATATCCTGTAGTCAGAGATTCTTTATAAGAAATTTAAACTTCAGAAATTATATAGACTTCTTGAATTTCCGTGCATCATTTTTGTCTTGTACATTTTTCTCAGAAGAAGTTTCATTGCTTTTAAATAATTCTCAAGATTCTATAAACCAAGGATAATGACTAATGGTGGTAGAGCATTTACCAGAGGTTAGTCTTAAGTAGGTGTTCAGACTCAAACTGCACTCAGCATCACTTAGAAGAAAATGGGGTACAAGGAACATACACATCAGATAGCACCTTGTGTCTCTTCAGCTAAAGCCATTCTCACAGTGGTCTACATCTTATCCCCATGCCTAGAAAAAGAACAAGATTCCTATGGAGGAATGTTCTTGGCAGTGATAGCATGTCATGCTGGCACTACACATAAGGAGTTGAAGTGTACCTGCTTTTTGTTTTTAAATAAAATTTTGTTTATATTCCACTCTAATTAAAGAAATGTCTAGATTCTTTACAATGAGTATATGGTTGAGTACCTCCATTGTACCACACACTATTCCAGAGCTCATGAAGTAGAATTTAACAAGAGAAACACTTAATTCAAGCACTCACTGAGACAGAAGTAAATAAGTATCTTTAGTACAGAATGCTGGGTGATGTGGTAACAGTGTAGTATTAGGTGTTGGCAGAGAAAAAAGATAAAACTTCTGACCTCAGTTCTGTCCTTAAACCAACTTGCAAAACATTAATTACAGGTTACTGCAGAGGTTTTTACTTTCTTTGAATATAATTTGTGGTTGAAAATCAAGAAACCTTTATTAACACCCATGAATCTCAGGCTGACATGGTCCCTCTGTCACTATAAAGATAATATTTGAAATATTGTTAAATATATTTTACACTTAATGTGTGTAAAAATTTTGAATTAAAACATAATGTATATTGTGAGATTGGCTCTCAGACTTTGAAGTTTATTTTTTCCATCTTTTTCAGAATTGATATACAAAGAAGTGATGGACTTGGAGGAGAGAACCAAGAATGGAGTTATACGAGGGCAGCCCTCTCCTTTAGGTTGGTTACAATATAAATATGGTTGAGAGTCATTTTACTTCTTGCATTGTAATCTTCAGTGGCCTGAAACCTGCAGTTCTTTCCATACTTACTACCTTATTCAAATTACAATTGGGGTGCTTAAATTTGAAATATCAATATACTGTTGTCCTGATACAATGTACTGATATAATCAGTAACTGACTTCATAAAGTGCTTATCTTTTTCTCTGATACTGACATTCTATTGAAGAACTTAAGGCCTTTTTTGTTGGCATTGTTGCCTTGTATTTAAAGGAGAAATTTTTCAAAATTCAATATGTTTACCTTTATATAGTTTTAACAGTCTTTACTTTGGATAAATTGATTTGTTGAACTAAAGCAGTGCCATTAAGACCACCACTAGAAAGCATTCACTCTATGAAGAAAACTAGTTTATAGGAGGTAAAACATTTTCTTTTATTGTAAGTTAGTCTTAATTTAATTTTGGTTTATGTAAAAGTATAAAGAAATGAAGGAAAAGGTTAAATGTCAGGAAACGTACACGTTAAGCACACAACATAATAACTAGACACTGGTGGTTCATATTCTTTATTTCATTCATCCCTCAGACTCTGAGAGATTATTATACACATTCTATAGATGAGGAAGCTAATATTTTAGGGGAAAAAAGTTTCAAAATCTATTAGGTAGAAGATAATGAAATAATGTCTGAATGTATTGCCCCTCGAAGCAGAGGTTAGGACAGTTATATGGAAGAGGTAAAATTTGATCTGAGCTTCAAAGGCTGAGTAGTATTTCTTTAGATAGGTTTGATTTTGAGTAAAACTATGCCATTTTAATTCTTCTAAGGATTAAATAAATGGTCTAAGGATTTAGTGTTCTAAGGAAAAAAGTGTATCATATCTAGCACTTTATTTATAGGTAAGATTTTTAGCTGTAGTTTCAGAAGCCCGTTTTGTTGTACTATAAACATAATTGTTTAAATAATTTTGGTAGCCTCCTTTGACATTTTTGGTTATATTTTATTAGAACTATGTATTTTAGGTCCTTTATCAGGAATGCAGTCTTCCAAATCTATAATATAGATCCTGTTGAAAGTATAAATTGGGAAAAAAAAAAGAAAGTATAAATTGGTTCTGACAGCTTTTATCTGTTTGGGTAAAATTTACTCATAACAAATTAAAAGCTTGGATGGTATAGTTCTTATTTAGTTTTGTATTGCTAACATAGTGGTAGTGAAGTGAATTATTTGTGATGGAGGCTTGGTGGAATTTGGAAAGTCTTTTACTTGGCTCAGTTTTATACTTTGACATACCATCATGGTAAGTGGCACATCTTAAATGTCATGTATTCTATCTCATGAGATAGAAAATTTTTTTTCTTCTTAATTAATAAGTGAATAGTTTGAATCTTGGATATCATTTGCTTATGGTCACAAAATAAGTAGAAAAGATAAAACTTGAGGCTTCTAGACATTTTCTGGATTCTCATCTCATGGCTTGCAATGAAGAATTTCAGTAAATTAGACTATAATAAAAATATTCAGGTCTTGATTATGTACAAAACCAGAAAGTGTCAGATAATTACAAAACCATTTCCACTTGTTCTTTAAAATGAATAATATTATTTTTCCCAGTGTATTGCCTACCTATAAATGTTTCAATTTGGTTGATAATGAAAATGAGTTTGCCTGTCTTGAGTGTATAGAGACTTGTCTGAGAAGGAAGTCACTCAATTATCTGAGATTGAAGAGTTTCCATAATATTGCCACACCGATATTTGAGAATTTGTTGTATGGCTTTAAATTTCAGAGAAAACAAGTCTTTTTTCTTAGGTATTTGATTTTCAGATTAACAAGTTAGCTAAGTGATACACTTAAAAGTTCATGTTTATGGGGTTCAGAAATTTGGTTAAAATGAAGGGGATCCTGAACTCTAGAGGCCTATATAAAAAGTATATATGTTGGGATTCTTTTTTATGATTTGAACGTTTTGATAAAAGTCTTAGAATTAGCTGTGTAAGACAAAAGAGTTATATACTATATTGTTTTGTCAGAAGAGGCACATTCTGTAATGTTGTAATTGATTGAACTATAAAGAGTATACAGTCTCAGCTCTGCTTTGGCTGGGAACCCTATGGGCCTTTCTGGAACCCAGGAGGTTATCATCCTGTTCTTGCCTCACATCCTCACATCCTGCTTGCCATTCACATTTCAGCTCAGACCACCTGTGCTGCCCCTATGGTTCCATTCCTTCCATCTCTCACTTCCTTCTCCACTGCCATAAAGATTTGTCTTTTTTTATTACCTGCCTGTTTCCTTGTTAAATTTGAAGACAAACTTTCAGAAGAACTTCCGTATTTAAGTGTTTGTTGCTCATCATTAGACATAATCAAACCCTGAAATATGCTGGGCCAAAGAGTAGAGGTTTTTAATCTGCTTGGTTTCTGCATTTTTTGGTACCTGATCCTCACCCTCATAAATTCTGCTCAGTGTTTGGTCGGATACCATTGTTTTTGTGATACTGGGGATTGAACCCAGGGTGCTTTACAACTGGGCTTGATCGCCAACCCTTTTTGTTTTTATTTTGAGACAGTCTTCCTAAGTTTCCCAGGCTGGCCTCAAACTTGTGATCCTCCTGCTTTAGCCTCCTGAGCAGCTGGGATTACAGGCATGCACCACTGCATTCAGCTGGTAGCATTGCTTTTATACAAATGTGTTCTTAATAATATTTCTGTAAGTTAATTTATTCCGATTTGGAATGACCCTTATTTAGTTGATCCTTTGGTTCAAAATTATTTACCTAGTATGAGTTGCCATTAACACATCCCCCCACCCCTGGTGTCAGACCTTCCACCTTACCAGCCCAAACATCTTCAGAAGATTTCTCTCTTTAGGTCAAGTATTCCTATTACTTTTTAAAATCCAGAAAATACTTGTTAGGTACTACTTGGGAGTAATGAAACAGTTTGCACCAAGCTTTATCTGGTTTGTAAATGCATATTTTATTTATCAAGTATTTATTAGAATTGAAATAAGACTGAGTTTACTAACTAGACCACTTGAGTTACCCTGTCAAGTCACATAACCTCATGCAAACTGGATCAGTTGAACTAAGGTCCCTCCCGATTAAAATGATTTTATTCTTTTTGTTGGGTTTTGCTTTACCACAAAATGTATCAAAAATATTATTTGGACTGTCTTTTTAGTGACAAAATATCATAAATAATTTTCTATAGGGCAGTAGTTTTTTAACTTCTTGTAGTCACTCAGGTCTTTGAGATTCTCTCTCCATCGAAATGTAATATAGAGAATTTTACGTGTATTTTCAGTATTATTTACATACAAGCCTGAAGCCTTCCTTGATGGATCTTGCTACAGAACTATTTCTAAATGTGACCTGGTCTCTAAGTTCTTGTATTAAACTGAGAAACAAGTTAGTAAAAAGGACAGGACTCCAAGTTTCTAGACATTTTCGGAATTCCCACCTCATAGTTTGCATATAACAACATTTGTAAGTTAGTGTTATATTTAATATCATTTGTGATTGTCTTTATTGAGCCTTCTAAACCTAAGAGAAAAATTATATCAACCACTGGAGGTAGTACAATGCAAGTAGCTCGGTCTGCAACTCTGTCTGCAACTGATTTGCTGTTTTGTTTCTCATAGCACAGGTGCAGCAGTGATCAATGGCTCTCAGCATCCATCGTCATCGTCGTCTGTCAATGATGTGTCTTCAATGTCAACAGATCCGACTTTGGCCTCAGATACAGACAGCAGTCTAGAAGCATCAGCTGGACCTCTGGGCTGCTGTAGATGACTACTTGGGCCTTGGGGGGGTGGGAGGGATGGGGAGTCGGTTAGTCATTGATAGAACTACTTTGAAAACAATTCAGTGGTCTTATTTTTGAGTGATTTTTCAAAAAAATGTAGAATTCATTTTGTAGTAGTTTATTTTTTTTATTTTCAAGTGATGTAATTTAAAATCTAAGTTGTGTTTTAAAACAGCAACAAAACTGTATTGTATTTTTTGCTGTAATTAACTGTATAATGTAAACCTAATTATTTTATCATGTTTTAAATTTTTTGCATATTTGCTTTATCTATGCTGCTGATTTTTTTTTTACTGAATTTGTAAGATTTTGTTTATCAAAGCGACTATTATGTGGTGACTTGCCTATATCATGAATTATTTAAGATTTTTATAGTTTTTTTTATTAGAATTTATTTCAGATGTTTTGTTCATGATACTATCCTTCAGGGTTATATGCTTATCAATGAAATAACCCCAGAGGAGTGAGGGAAAATCACCTGTAGCCAGTTATATTCAGGAATAACTACTGTAAATGATGAACGTGGCAAGAGACCTCCATTGTTTGCTACCAGCCAATCCTAATTTAGATACAGCAATGGGTAGGCAATCCTACCTGAATTTTGGCAAAAGCCCCATCATCTAAATGGCAGAATAACTGAGAGCGTGTCTTTCAAGTGCCAGGAGTGTACCACCACCTTCTTTTCTCCCCACCCACCCAACAAAAAGTCAAGGAATATAGTGTATTCTGCAAATTTGTGGCATGCTCAAAGCTATGATCACATAAAGTCAAGAGGATACTTCATGAATAATACATTTCAATGCAAATAAACAGATGGTTCACTTATACTAGCTATGAGCCTGTTTTTGTACACACTGAGTTAGTCTCAGGCTATAGGTCCTAGCAGTGGTCTGAAGTCTGGCTCCACATTTTCTTCAGCCTTGTCCCTTAGACCTTTCTGGTTTCAAAACTATTGGAGGGTTAGTCAGTTGAGCACCAGTTCTCATGGTGTTTCTGGCCATTTGATTCTGCCTGTAGTATAGTCATTTATATCAGCTGTCAGGAGGTTTCAAAGCCTACTTAGATTTGTGTAGGTGATGTATCAAATGAGCAATATACCGTTCATCTGAAAATAGTAGCACACAGCCATATATAGGATATCATTTTCTAAGGACTGTTTCTTCACATCGAGCAGAGCAGGCATAAATGGTGGTTACTTAGTCTGAGTCTTTCATTTTTTATACCTGATTTCCAATATAACACGCAATGTGGACGTTGAATAGTGTAAGAATGGTGCTGCTCCTGACAGGTGTGTGTTAACTGTTTACATTTTATATCTGCAGAATTATTTCTCTATAACTGAATTTTTCCTAGGTAAAGTGTCATTGAGGTCTCATTATTTCTGAACTACATTATCTGTAATGGCCCCACGCACCTTATGTTATGTCTAAAACGAGGGATTTCATGTAATGAACTGGGAAATGCTTACGTAAATGGCAAGGTTCTGGGCGGAAAGCCCATCGGGATTCATTTCCAACAGGAGCAAGAATAGGTGCAGCTCAGCAAATGTCTGAAAGTTTGCTTGGCATTTTATTCATATATTTAGTGCAAAATTCCTTTTGAGTTAGATATTTTAGGTCATTGTTAATGTGCAATATTTAAGATTAAAATACATTAGCTTTTTTATATACTTTGGAATAACAAGCTTGTTTTTGATGGGTTCAAGTCATGATTTCTTGCCTCCCAAACTTGGTAATGATCCCTTTTCTAGTCATACAACATGGTGCATTAATTTTATTAGGAAAATTAGAGTTTTGAGACTGTAACCCTCTTGAGTTATATAGGATTGGATTCACAATTCTAGAAATTTGAGCATGAGTGTATTCTCAGTTCATATTAGTTTTATAGTTAATTAACTTTATTTTCTCTAGGGTAGATTATATCACTATTGCACTTTAACAGCTGACATGCCTTTAAAAGGTTCCCATATTTTATATTTCATTGCTGATATGCCATCTCTATTGATTCAGATGTTGGTTAAGCAAGGAATACCAGGTATTTTGACTATATCATTTGTTGTAAATGCCAGCTCCCACTTGCCAACCATCATATTTCAGTTGAATTGAAAGAAAAAAAAAAAACCTATTGCTTAATGTAAACCAAACTGCTAACCAGTTATATCCTAAAACCAAGGTCTGGTTGTTAAATCTTGAGTGCCCTAGGTCTGAAAAATATATTGTCTAAATACAGCTTCCCCTTTTTGCTTAAATTTATTAAACTAACTATGTACTGGTACTTTTTCTTTTAGAGTCTTAAAGTGTTTTACATCTGTTTTTGAAGAAATTACAAATATCTGTCAAGCAGTACTTGTATTAAGCCACTTTCTTATAATTTTGTTTTTCAATTTTATACACTTAATATACCCATCATCTTACTGTCAGAAAATTATTTTAGCTGAGACTTATGACTTGACTTTGTAAATTTGAAAAGATACTGATTCTTTATTCCTCATCTTCCTAGTTACAGTTCTCTTACTCTCTAATATATAGTAATCATTTGTAAACTGATCATGTCATTGAGATTGCTAAATTATAATATACATAGAGCATTTAAGCTCTTTCATACTATTTGCTGAACAATTTTCATTGTGTCACGCACCTTCAGCTGCTGATTGCTCCTGGTGTGCGCTCTTCCAAGTTGGTAAAGACGCAATGTGCTTACACCAGACTTTCTAGGAAAGACCAGCCTCTCAAAGGAGAAAGCTGTCACGCAGCCTCCTTAACAATACAGAGAAGCTTGATTGTGTACAAAGCAGCAGACTTTCCTATAAGCTTTTTTGTTATTCTGTTCTGGGCTAATCTTGCCAGGTTGTCCAAAAAGATAAGATGAAGAATATATCAGTGTCTGGTAGTGAAATCAGCAGCAGGCAAGTGAAGCTGTTTCCTGGGTTACAAATACTATTGGCCAGTATCTGCTACATGTATGAAGACTATTCAGTGTTGCCTAGGCACTAGCCTGCACAACATTTTGAGGTTAAAACATAGTATATTTTCAAGAATACTGTTGTAGTTTGTGAGTGTTGTTCATTAGTCACACATTAGCTGTAGAGTGGATGCATGACACCCTGTGACCCCAGTAAACCTAGTAAACCTCTCTTACCAGTGAAGTAGAAAACCAAGCACCACCTTCTGTCATTAGCAGCCCTCTTAAATGTTGCCTCTCCATATAGCCTGTTGCATTTTAGCGTGCATCGTGTTTCTACTGATCTCTTTTAGGATTTTCCTGACTCACAGGAAACTAACTTGTCCTTAATAAAATAGCAAGAAAGATGAAGAGGTAAAGGGCATTGAAGCAGAAATGTATAGTTTGGGGTAAGATTGGAAAACTCATAAGGAAAACAAAAGTCCTAGTCAATTTCAAAGTAACTGCTCTTAGTAAAGTGCTCTTAAGGAGAGTCTAGTAAGAGTAACACTTTCTGGCCATTTCTGATTTAGATTCTCTTCATTACTGAAACTTCTGAGAAATATTACCTGTGGATTAGTTTTGCACAATATTCTATTCTCACAATGACTTAAAATGAAACTAGGTTTTTATTGAACTACCTCACACTAATTTTCTATGCTTTCCCAAGTAAGCTGTTGCCCTGTTAGACCTTTACTGAGTGTGAATTATAAATGTGCTTTGAATACTTTATAGCCAATGTTGAAAAAATACCAGTAAGTATGTAAAATATATACCTTGCATCAGTAAGAGACACTCACGTGTAAAATCTTTCACTGTATATCTTGAAAATTGTGTTAGATGTGCTTGTTGACATTATTACTGTCTGTTTTTGTAAGTAGAAACCTGCTCGTGGTATCAGTCCATTCTTTACATTTTACAAAAGGAGTAAATCTTAGTAAATTTTACGAAGAAATAAATTACTTTTGTAGGCCCAATATTTGGTATATTTTTGAGAAGCTGTTAATCTTTTAGCCGAATGATGAAGTTAAACTGAAGTAGCTGTCTACCTGGACTGTGACATCTATTTTCTCATTACAGTTTATCCTGTTCAACAGGTTTTTGAACCTGGAAACCTAAGTATAGTTACTGACTTTTTTTTTTGCTCCCTATACATGTCATTTCCTTCTTCACCACCCCTCCCCCCATGTCCAATTCCCTCACCTCTCCTCACCTCGCCTCTCCTCTCCTCTCCTCGCCTCTTTAGATGAAACAAAATGGGGCACTTTGTAGGGAATGCTGAGATCATTATTGTGGTTTTTAATCATTCATGCCCTAGTCATTAAACATGCACCACTGGAATGTAAACATTGTTATCTAGTATGTCAATTGGTTATAATATTTTAAATAAAAAACAAAAAAGTGGTATGAAAATTATGAACTTAAGAGTTTTTTCATTGAAAACAAATCTGTGGTAAGTTTTTCTTGATTACTTTAGGAATTCCAGTGACTTGGGATAAAAGGGTTATTACCAGGGCAGGTTTCTTAGATTTGGATTTTATACACATTATAAAGAGTGAATTTTCACTCCAGTTTTCTGCTTCATCTATACTTGCTTTCTTGCTTTTCTGGTGTTTGAAATCACCAGAGAAACTATCTTAAAAAGACACTTCCCTGTCCTCAACCTAATTCTTCATAGCTGTACAAGAGGGCAGCCATCATGGCCCCTTGGCCAAAGTAAGTATATAGAATAGGTATGTTTCAAAACAGATTTCAGCTTGGAACATGTTCCATGTGCCTTTCTTGGGTGGGCTGTATGAGGGTATGCAGGATGTGTCTCTGTGTGCCTGCTCAGCTTCTGTGTGATGGCATTTTTATACCTTGCTGGCCTCTGATGGGCTCTGGCTCCAGATAACCCTTGCATCCACACTGTCCCTCCCTTCACCTGCATTCATGTGTCCCTTTCCCAAGAGAGTGAACCAGTCACACCTGACTGCTGCCACTTCATCAACCATGTGGTGGCAGATATGAGAGTGTTGTTTAAACTTGGTTTTGAGTGATTTTTAAGATTTCCTACCTAGTCTTAAAGGAGTAATTCTTATCAATTTAGGTGCTACATTTTTAAAAAAGTATTGTTCCTAAAAAGGCCCATTAACTTTAGGTAATGAAGATTGATTTGTACCGATTTTGTGGTTTAAAAAAGATTTTTTTTTAGCTGTTGCCAGTTAAATACTTCAACTAAGCTTTTTAAAGGTTAGGTTTTGTCTAGCAGGCATTACACTTGATTTTACCAATTAATAAAAGCATATATAACGAAGACTCTTTGCTGGAAGCTAAGAATGAAAAAAGACAAAAATGACTTTCAGGGTAGTCCTGATAGCAGTAGTGCTATGTGGAGGAACAGTACCATGCTGAAGGGACAAGAGCAAGAGAGTGATGAGAGAAAATGAAGAGGGCTTGGAAAGGAATGGTATTGCAGACTAAGGGGAAGGCAAGGAGATTTGAAAGCTCCTGAGCAATGATTGAGGGACAGCTTGACCTGGGCATGGGTATACAAAGAAATAATGGAAACTGCCTCATTCACAGTAGTCTCAAAAACAATAAAATACTTGGGAATCAATCTAACAAAAGAGGTGGAAGACCTATACAATGAAAACTACAGAACACTAAAGAAAGAAATTGAAGAAGACCTTAGAAGTTGAAAAGATCTCTCATGCTCTTAAGATTAGAAGAATTGGGGCTGGGATTGTGGCTCAGCAGTAGAGCACTTGTCTAGCATGTGCAAGGCCCTGGGTTTGATCCTCAGCACCACATAAAAATAAATAAAGATAGTGTCCAACTACAACTAAAAAAAAAAATTAAAAAAAAGAAGATTGGAAGAATTAACATTGTCAAAATGGCCATACTACAGAAAGCGTTATACAGATTTAATGTAATTCCAGTTGAAATCCTAAGAACATTCCTTGTACAAGTAGAAAAAGCAATCATGAAATTCATTTGGAAAAATAAGAGACCCACAATAGCCAAAACAATCCTTAGCAAGAAGAGTGAAGTAGGTAGCATCACAATACCAGACCTTAAACTATACTGCAGAGCAATAGTAACAAAAACAGCATGGTATTAACACCAAAATAGACATGTAGACTAATGGTACAGAATAGAAGATAGAGATAAACTCACATAAATAGTTCTCTCTTACTAGACAAAGGTGCCGAAAACATATATTGGAGACAAGATATTCTATTCAACAAATGGTGCTGGGAAAACTGGAAGTCCATATGCAGCAAAAAGAAATTAAATCACTATCTCTCACCATGCACAAACTCAAAAGTAGATCAGGGACCTAGGAATTAGACCAGTGTCCCTGCACCTAATAGAAGAAAAAGTAGGCCCAGATCTTCATCATGCCGAATTAGGTCCTGACTTCCTTAACCAGACTCCTTAAGTGCCAGAAATAAAATCAAGACTCAATAAATGGGATGGATTCAAACTAAAAAGCTTCTTCTCAGCAAAGGATATGATCAATAACATGAAGAGAGAGCCCACAGAGTAGGAGAACATCTTTACTATAGGCACATCAGATACAGCACTAATTTCCAGGATATGTAAAAAACACCAAAAAAACAACCCAATCAATAAATGGGCTAAGGAACTGAACAGACACTTCACAGAAGAAGAAATACAATCAGTCAACAAGTATATGAAAAAGTGTTCAACATCTCTAGCAATTTAGAGAAATGCAAATCAAAACTAAGGTCTGGGGATATAGCTCAGTTGGTATTGAGTGCTTGCCTCGCATGCACAAGGCCCTGGGTTTAAGCCCCCAACACCACACACAAACACACACATAAAAACTAAGATTTCATCTCAATCCAGTCAGAATGGCAATTATCAAGAATACAAGCAACAATAAGTGTTGGTGAGGATGCGGGGGGTGAGGAGGGAGATACATGTTGCTGGTGAGACTGCAAATTGGTGAAAACACTTTGGAAAGCAGTATGGAGATTCCTTAGAAAACCTGGAATGAAACCATCATTTGACCCAGCTATCCCACTCCTCAGTCTATATCCAAAGGACTTAAAATCAGCATATTATAGTGACGCAGCCACATCAATGTTTATAGCAGCTCAATTCCCAATAGCTAAACTGTGGAACCAACCTAGATGCCCTTCAATAGATGAATGGGTAAAGAAACTGGCATATATACACAATGGAATATTAACTCAGCATTAAAAGAGAATGAAATTATGGCATTTGCAGGTAAATGGATGGAGTTGAGAATATCATGCTAAGCGAAGTAAGCCAATCCCCAAAAACCAAAGGCCAAATGTCTCTCTGATAAGTGGATGCTTATGGGGGGTGGGGCCTGGGAAGGAATGGAGGAACTTTGGATTGGGCAGGGGGGAGAGGGCACAGGGGTAAGTAAGATGGTGGAATGAGGTGGACATCATTACCCTAGGTACTTGTATGATTGCACAAATGGCGCGACTCTACATCGTGTACAACCAAAGAAATGAAAAATTGCATATTTGCATACAAGGAAATAAAATGCATTCTGCTATCATGTATAACTGATTAGAAAATATTTAAAATGTTAATATCAAAAAGGAAATAATGAGAAATAAGGCTGAAAAGTTGAGGTTCAGAATTTAATCAAGCCAAGGGACAGAACTGAAAATATTAGGAATCCCTTTTTATTTTCTAGGCAGAACCCATTGTAGAATGTGAGGAAGAGGAGTGGTGGGACCAGACCCATGTTTTAGGATGGTCAGTGACAGCGGGAGCAAGTCCAGTTGGGCTAGAGGTGTGGAGCTTGGTGCCTGGAAGCCAAAGACACCCAGTTGAGGGAGCAGTGAGGACTCAAATGCATTGTCATTACATAGGTGATGTTACCAAAATCAGTATTTGGAACTGGAGGAAGTCTTGAACCCTAATGGTTAGACAGCATGCAAGAGGTCTGCAGGGAAAGCATGGCTGCAGTGTCGTACGATTTGTGCATACCTGTTTAAAGGAACTGTAACAGAACGCCTGGCATCAACCCACAATTTCCTGTTTCAGGCAGGGGAGGAAGGGGAGAAGTGTTTTGTTCCCCCAACTGTGGACCTCTCCAGTCTTGTTGTCTCTTCCCTCCTGAGGTTTGTCATCTGCTCCTCCAGCCCTTACACCATTTTTGTTAGTACCACTTTATGGACAGAGGAGAAAGAAGAAAGGTGCCTATTAGGTCTAACACATGAGATTTTTTATTCTAACTGGACAACTAGGGGCATGGTTCTGATTGCTAAGGACTGAGTGAATTATGAGTTGGGTAGCACTCCTAAAAACTGGGCAGGCCAGGTGCAGTGTAACAGGCCTGTGATCCCAGTGGCTCAGAAGGCTGGATCATGAATTCAAAGCCAGCCTCAGCAACTTAGTGAGGCCCTCAACAACTTAGTGAGACCCTGTCTCTAAATACAATACACACACACAGAAGTGCTGGAAATGTGCCTCGGTGGTTAAGTACCCCTGGGTTCATCCCCAGTGGGGAGGAGTTTGGGCAGGAAATGTGAAGGAAGTTATGACTACCTTGAGAGAAGGATCAAAAGAGTGGTCAAATTAAATGAGAGGGAGAAACCCAAAGCACATGCACCCTGATGAGATGAGATCTTAGTTTGGGATCTACTGGCTCCCATGAGTCCAGTGAGCCTAAATAGGGAGTGTTGAGGTCACCTTGGGCAAATCTCAGTTGCACTGAGCTGTGCTTTTCTTCTCCATCTGGCACAAGAGGGTGGAGAAAACTGGGCTGAAGACTTTGTACGCTTTAACAAAAATCAGCATAAAACCAATGTAATTGCTGGTTTTGGCCTTGGAACAGAAGAGGGATGATTAAATGGAAAAATGCTGAAGAGAAAGGAAAGCATTTTGTGTGGCCTGCACCTGGGAGCTGCTATACATGGTACCCCGCCCTCTGCTCCAGTCGTCTCCATCCCCAGCAGTCCCAAACGTCATGCTGTTGGTAAGGAAAATTCTTCATAAAATCAGTATGGGATTTTTATTGAGAGAATAGCTAAGCATTTTACTTTGGCTCTATTTCATGTGTCGTTCCAGCTGACCCTCCTCCAGGTACATCCTCTACATCATTGTGAACATGCTTTTATTCATGCCCACGTTTGCCCATTTTAGACCCTCACTGCTTAGGGCCCAGATCTAATCATTCCTCCTCTGATAAAACCCTCCCGTCAATTTTTCTCTCACATAACCCGTTTTACATACATGTTTGCTCGCTTTATTCATACACTCCCTCCTCCCCATTTACAGATGACAAGGTCACCACACATCCCTGCAGTTATGTGATGGTACCTGTGTGCTAATCTTCTGCTGAGGCCTCACCCCGGAATGCCTTGGATGGAAGAGCTTCCCTTACAGATAGATAACAATGCCTGCAGGTAAGATTCAGCATG